GCTAGCACATTGTAAAAGAAAAAGAAAACATTAGATAATTCATGCTTGAAGTACTGCCTGGGATGGTTGCCTCTACAATGATTTCTTCCTCATTCTTCTTGTTGCCTTACAAGTCATTATTCACTGCCTGCTGAGGGACTGGTCTCTATGTCCCAGGCTGTCTAAATTAGGGAGGAATAAAATAGAAGACACAGGAGGGATCTTTACCTGCATCCCTGGGCCTCAGGCTGATGAAATCAGCAAGGAAAATTATCTTCCCTCCTGGCTGGAGTACCCAGCCTGATGAGTGGCTCCAGTGTAACTAAAATGGGATTCTGAGACCTGTTACACCTGTGTTTGTGTGCATAGATGTTGGTGTGGGTGGGCCTAAAGATAGCTGAAAGATGCCTAGAAAGAGCTTGCAGCATAGCCCAGGAATCCACTTTGTCCTGCACTTTACATACCATTCCTGTTCTTTTCTTAGCATGTTTTGGAATGATTTTATTTGTACTAGATTTAGGACAAACTTCACTGGCCACTTGCAATCTGACACTTTTGAAGTACTTTCCCAGTATAAGCTGAATGCCAAGGCTGTGATTGTTCCTTATGCTATGGCCTGAGCCAGTCATATCAGAAACCTCACAGCTGTGGTGGTGATAATTTCTTTAAAATTAATATTTTCAAACCCACTTAAATTAAAGGTTTTCTTTCAATTGATGAAGTTCTCTTACAGTTTCACTTCCAGTATCTTGAGGACTGAAGGTCAAATATTTGTGTTTTTATGAAAATCGAATAAATATTGTTATATTGTATGATCAGGTAACAGTCCACCTCCTTACATGCCTGTCTGTCTGTGTCTGCTTACTGGTGACAGCTCTGTGTCTTTCATACTAAAATCTTATTTCAGGAAAAAAGAACTGTGATAGACGTTCTTTGAGAGAAGATTCACTACTGTTCTGATGTTGCAGGAGAAGGTGCAGCCTGCTATATTAATTCTAACTACTGTATCAATCCTTGATGTACATACAAAATCTCTGCTGTTGGTCTTGCTGTTGAATTCCTGTTCTTTAAAGGAATGGAGGTGAAGTTGTTCAGTAAACATCTTTAGCCATGTAAAAAGTTATATTGTCATTCATTCTTACTAATGTTTTAAATCACTGAGCTCTTTTCCTTTGTTGATACTGCATTTAATATTTATTAAAAGCAGGTGAAGAATCCTGTCATCTTTTCAGGTTGTTTATTGTTTGTCAATTACTGAGTGTGCTGGTTTATATTTTTTCCACCAGATTCAAGAAGAAAACAGCTGCTTAATTATATTTTATTCTTAGTGTAAATTAGGTCTTTGACTGAGTTGACTGTGTTAATATATTATACTAGAGGTGCAAGAGGCCAAGTTTAAAAATGGGTATCTGTGAATCCTGCCTTGGAGGAGGCTATATTTGCTGTATAGAATTTTGAAGATACAGACTTTTTGTCACACTGTTTCAGGAAGGTTTGGCCTGTTTTTGTTGATTCTCTTGTATTGTAATATAATGCTATTCCTTACATGAGTGGTACCTGTTCTTTAAAGAAAAGACAGAAATGGTACCTATTGGTACCTCTGCTGGCAGAACCCTCAGGTTATTTCTAATAATGAACTGACAACCATGACTGCTCATACAAGGAGGGGACTTGGCAAATGAGGTCTCTACTCATGTGAGGCACAGCATGAATCTGTGGTTGTTTTTCTTAGTGCTTTGAGTAGGGATTTGAAGGACATGCTTGCTTGTGAAAACATTCAGAGAATTTTTTGCAGAACATTTTTTGGGTTCATCTTTGTATTAAAAATGTTGAAATTTGAAGTACTGCAGAACCAATTATTTGTACTATAACGTGTTTTCTTATTAAAAATTGAGATAATCTTCTTGGGCAATGACCAGTTGGTTCTTAAAGATAACTGAAGTATGTCACCATGATCTTCCTTAAACAGTCAGGTTTTTCCTTCTCAGTAGTCACTTCAGTTTAATGTAACACAGTACAGAATTAAATGTGAAATAGCTTCCTGCTAACTCCCCTGTGTCAGCTTCACCCAAAAGCTGTATTTGAAATTTGATTTTCTTATTGTGTATTAAAAATGTTCCAGTGTTTTTCCTAGCACCAGCTGTCCTAACATGTAGTGTCAATGTGGATAATGGTGTTAGTATCCAGGAGAACAGTGAAACTCA